AAAAAAAAAAAAAAAAAAAAAAAAAAAAAAGTATCACCCACTCAGTTTTGCTCACTGAGGGGAAAATACCCATACAAATTTGTATCCAAAATGGTTTAGCTGTTTGGGAAGGTGACAATAAAAAGGACTTTGATGTTCTATTAGGAGGTGGAGGTGGAGCCTGGGAAATAGGATCTGTGCAGGGTTTTGTGTGCATGCGCGTGCCACCGTATGAAAGAGAGAGCGCACGGCCCATCCCCCTGCATCCCCCGGCATCCTCAGTTGGCAGGGACATGGAAGGGACGCCCTGCCTCAGCGTCCCCCAGAGTCATGCTCTGGAGAGGAGGGGCTCAATGTGCCCAGGTCGCCCTGTCTTTTCCTGTCCCTACTCATACTGAGCTGAAGCCTGGTCCCCCATAGCTCCACCTATGCCCCCCATCCTGCTTTCTGCAGCCCAGGAGAATGTCTGTCCTCTACTAACAGAGGCCCTGCCAATTTGCAGACAGTGAGCTGGGGTTCTCCAGAGCAGCCCCCATTCTCCAGACACCACAACCCGGAGTGTCTGTTGCTGTCTTTTCTGTGCATGCCACTCTCTCCGGGGGAAAGCCAGGGGGCCTGCATTTCACTTTAAACATAGGACATAGGACTGTGTGCAGGTCTCTTCATGGGTCTGCCCCAGGCAGAGAAGAGCCATCAATTCTTCCTTCTAGAACTGCCCGCTAGACCTCAGCACTCCTGACATTCTCTATGGGAGACCGTCCTGTGCGTCGTAGGATGTTAGCAGCATCTCTGTCGTCTACCCACTACCCGCCAGCAGCACCTCCTCCCTCCTGCTCCCCAGTTTTGACAACTAGAAAATCTAGGCAACCTGGGGACCAGAATCACCCCCGGGTGAGAGCCCCTGGTCTAGGCCCGCCACGTCCAGCCAGGACGCCGAGTACCGTGTCATAGCATCTGATAGGGAAGTGTCCCAGGCTTCTGAGGCAGGAGCGAGTAAAGTGGGCTTGGCTCTGCAGGGGGACAATCCCAGCAGAAGGGACAGCATGAGCCAGGTCTAGAGCCCTGCACGGGAGCCACCAGACACAGGTCCCTTTGAAGCACTTGAACATGGCTTGTCCAAACTGAGATGTGCTGTAGGTGTAACATGCACACTGGGTTTCCAAGGCTTAGCATGACTGTACATATATATATATATAGATATATATAGATATATAAAATTAAAACTTTTTATATTGATTCCATAGTGAAATGGCGAAATCTTGGATATATTGGGTTAAATAAGATTTGTAATTAAAATTAATTTCACCGCTTTCTTTTCCCATCTGTGGCTCACCTTCTCTTTCTGTTGGGCAGGGCTGGCCTGTAGTCAGGGAATCTGGGGTCTAGGTGTGCCGATGCCCTTGCTCCCAGCTCCTTTTTTCCCTTGGCCTCTAGCTGCCCGTATCATCCTTTTCTGACCAGGACCCCATTGGTTCCCAGGATCGCCCTTCTGGCCGCGCTGCAGGAGTGCTCAGAAGTCCCTCCCTCCCTTCTCTCCTGTCCAGCGCCCTGCTCGATTTTGGAGTTTCTAAGCAGTGGCCAAATCAGTGTCTTCCTCTGTGGGGTCAGGTGCATTGAGGCAGGAGTCCTCGGAGGGTCTGAATGAGGGGACATCAGGTCCCAACGCTGGGTGACAGTGTTGCGGCAGAAGGTCCTTGTGCTTAATCCCCTTGAAATCACACCCCTCTGGGACCACCTCCCTCTGTCCACACCCCCATACCCCCCCCTGCCGTGACGGGGGGAGAAGCGATTCTGATGAAAGACTAGGCAGTCTCTGTGGTAGCTGGGCCCCCAGGCACACCTCAGGGAGATGCACACCTGTGAACTTGCTCTTTGCATGCAGGGGAGCCCTCTGGGCACCAGGTGTGTGCTGGGCACGGCCAGGATCACACCAGAGCTACACTTCCACCACTAGGGCCGCGAAACTGCCAAACAGGGTGGGCTGGGGTGGGGGTGAGGCAGGATTTGCTCTGACACCCGTCTCCGAGGAGCCCGACCCAAACTCTCCCATCTTACGCTGAGTCCGGGCTGAGAACCACACATTGATTGTGAGGGGAAATCAACATCTAGTAAGGAATCCATAAAATAACCCATGCAAGGCATTCACCCTGGTATATCCTACTATCGCCAGCACTGGAATCGGGACCATGCACACTCTGGGCGGCAATTGATTCTCCTGCTGTTCTCAAGCTGGTTTCCAAGTGTAGACAAAATCACCCCAGTCTCAGAAGAAGCAGAAATCAGACTCTGCTCTGGAAATGTAGTTGAGAATTTAACTTCTTGCAGGAAGTGATTCCTTATGGAGAACCTAGAGCTGTGGGCTATGGAAGTGGAAGTTTCCTTAGCAGTGTCTCATCCAGGGAGGGCGAGCTGATTGCAGGCCACCTGGGATCCGCTGCATGGGGCAAGCCAGCGCAGTGTTGATAGGGATTCTGAAGCCAATCCAGTGAGTGACTCAGCCAGGGTTCCAGCCCGGGTCTGCCTGGAGCCAAAGCCCACGTGTGGGGCCCCTTGCCCTGCACTGTTCTGCTTCTCTGAGGGCATGGGGGTTCCCTCCCAGGGGATATAGGAGGGCACTTTGTGCCATGACCCCCTCAGAACCAGGAAGCTGCAGCTTCTGAGATGATAAGGTCAAGGTGTTCAGGTGTCACTTAAACCCCTCACTGAGCTGTCAGTGCAGAAACCGCTGTTTCCCGAGGCTCCCCAGTGACAACTTCTGTCCAAGCAGCCCGCCTTGCTACTCCCCCCATTGGAGCCTTATAGGTGGAGACGTGCAGAAGCATGTGGGTTCACCTCAGGCCAACCACCGTGGGGAATGCTGGGAGCTGGCAGAATCAGAACGTCGAGAGAGAGAAGGGGCTTGTGCTGTGACACCTGCCATCCCTCTAAGTTGATCAGGAAGGTCCGGCTGGCAGGGAGGAGGTCCCTTCTCTTTATTCCCAGTCTATTCACATCTGCCTGATAACTTTCTCAGACTGGGAAGCAGCATTCTTGGGTCAAGAACCATTCAAGTCTTGCAGTAGATTCTCAGGCTTCCCTTACTGGAGAACGTGGAGTCTTTATAACCATACCTATCACTTATTTGACACTTGTAATCTACCCAGGAGGTGCCAGTACATACCTGATCGCACCTAGTACAGCTGTCCTGCAAGGTGAGTGCTAGAGTCCTCATCTTACTGAGGGTCAGCGAGGTGAGATGAGTGGCCCAAGGCCACAGGAGTAGTGACTGGCAGAACCAAGGGTTAAAGGTCAGTGCCAGGTCTATTGGCAATAATTTAGCCCTGTGGGCATGTTACATCTCCGAAGCCTGGGGACCGGGCACTGAAAATGTAGAAATGCTTATCTGCAGGCTTTTGATCCAACTTCCTGTGCCCAGGCATCTTGGCATGAACCAGACATAGTATCCAGACTCCTGGGGGTAAAGGCAGGTAGGTGAGTGAGTTCTTTCACCAGAAGCAGCGGTGGGTTCACATGGAGTCACCTCTGACCTCCCACCTGGCTGACAGCAACTCGTGTGGGCCTGGAGTGGGGCTCAGAGGCCATCAATGCTGGCAACTGGAGCCATCATCAGACTCGGTGGACTGACGCTGACCATGAAGCCAACACCTCTCAGAAAGACAGTTCCCCCAACTGCACCAACCAGCCAAAGAGCCCCTTGCACCTGCACTTTGTGGCCTGTCAGATGACAGAGGGACACAACCTCCACCCTCACTCTTAATAGGAGTCACTACCTTCTATTCACACACTCACACCGGTTCCCAGGTCCTCAAAGCCCTAGTGGGTCACATCAGGCTCTTTCCAGAGTGTTTGAGCATGGTCTGAGGATTTGCAAGACATTCGCATCCAAAAGCTCTAATTATGTTTTTCTGAATTAAAACGTGCACGTCTAGAAGCATGTGTGAGGCTATTATCTCTGCAGCGGGTCAGGCTTACAAATAATTACGGTTGTCCCAGATCATCGGAGTGGGGCTTTGAGGCATTTGTGGATCAGACAGCACCATTATTGTGGCTTTTCAGAGTCACAGAATTATGTCAGAGGGGCTTAATATGCAGGTGGCTGTCCGGTGTTAATATTCTATTAATAAAATGCCATTTCCCTGCTAATGTCTCATGAACATTTAAAGCTTCAGCTTATTACTTACAGATCTTCAAATATGCAGACCGGATTCTCCAGAAGTCTTCTTGGGAAGACATTGGGCTTGCTTCCCAAAGGACATTCTGTGGCCCACGTTGTGTGTGTTGCACAGCGTGTGTGTGTGTGTGTGTGTGTGTGTGTGTGTGTGTGTGTGTGGCAGTGGGGAGAGATGATGGACGCACAGGAGGTGTAAAGAGGGGGTGTGGATTTACCACTTTAAATTCAAGGCCTTGACTGCCCCTTGGAACCGAGTCAAGGAGCTGGGAGGGGCAGCCTGGCACCAGGAAGGCCTGTGGTCTCTGGTGCCCACAGTCCAGGGTTCAAATCCTGGCTCTTCGACGTCCAGGCCGTGTGGCCTTGGCCCGTCACTTTGCCTGGGTTCCTCCCCTTTCGTGTGAAGCGCAAGCAACACTGCGGAAGGGGGCTGGTGGGAGGTGCTTGAGACAATGTTTGTCAAGCGGCTGCCAAAGCACTGAGCCTCTGGGGACACAGAGGAGGAGCTGGGTCTGGGGCTACTGGTATTACGGGTCTTGTTCTCATCCCCAGAATTTAGTTTCTTTGGAGAGTCCATTGTCGAGCAGAATTGAGACATTGGTTTCTCTTGGGGTTCCGAGAATGCCTGAGAGTTCTGGCAGGTGTACCCCATCTTCCTCCCGGGACCAGGAGGGTCAGGCTTGCAGGGGCGGGTGAGAGGTCCCTGTGGCTGAGGGGCCAGGGGGCCGGCTTCCTGGCCTGTCAGCCCTCTGCTGTGACAGCCAGCACAGAGACTTCCCGTGACCCAGATCAGAGGGCCCTGTGCTAAGAGAAAGGACATGGCTCCTTGGAGGAGTCCCCCGGAACAAATACAGAGCTACGGGGTGCAGAGGTGGGGCAGACACATAGGACTTGGGGTGGCGAGAGAGGATGGGTATCTGTTCCGTGTCACCCTGAGTCAGAAAAATACCTATCTCTGTGCTCTGCTTCCGATGTGGTCCCAGGCCACACCTGGCAGCATTTCACACCTCCCACCCCAGCCAGGCTCTGGCCAGACGTCCCCAGGTGCTCACAGCGCGTCTCCGAACCACCTGCCTCAGAGTCACCTGAGATGCTTGAGAAAGCAGACTCCTGCCCTGGCTTCCCCTGCCTTTGTCATCCCCCCCATCAACCCTCTGCCTGACCTCTCAGCCCAGGGGATCCTCGGGGGAGCTGTGTCAGGCTGTCTGGGGCAGGCATGTGTGCATTGTGAGCACGGAAGCATAAATGTTTCCCCCTGAACGGAGCCTGATGGCTGAGGTTTTTCCAGCACATACCTCAGGCGGTGCATGGAAAGTCACCTTGGTGCTTAATGGAAGGGGAGGGCAGGGAGGGGGCAGTGCCCTGCTCCGGGGGCTGCTACCTCTGCAGACCCCAGGGACTACCCTTAGTGCTCACGGGCTCCAGGAACTCCATGGGGCTTGGTGCCATGTTGGTGTTATGACCAGGGACCCACAAACAACCAGATCCTGCCTAACAACCCCCTGTACCCCCCCACGGGGCTCCTTAGCGGATGTGGATCTGTTTCCCAGCACTGCCACCATAACTAGCTTCCACTAAGTGGCTTAAACAATAGAAATGTATGGCCTCAGTTCTGGAGGCTGGAAGTCCAGGATCAAGGTGTTGGCAGGGTGGTTCCTTCTGAGCCTGTGAGGGAGAGTCTGTTCCAGGCCTCCCCGTGAGTTTCTGATGGTGAACTTGCAACCTTTAGTGTTCCTTGGCTTCTAGAAGCATCACCCCATCTCTGCCGTCATCCTTTTGTGGCATTCTCTTGGCGTGCATCTGTGTCCAAATTCCCCCCTTTTATAAGGGCACGGTCACATTGGGTTAGGGGCCCACCGTTCTCCATTAGGACCTCACCTTAACGAATTACACCTGCAACTACCCTATTTCCAAATAAGATCACATTCTGAGGTGCTGGGGGTTAGGACCTCAACACATGAATTTGGGGAGACATAGTTCAACCTACAACAGGGAGCTATAGCAAAAGGAAACAAAGTCTCACTTTGTTAACACCTGAGCCCAATAACCCCTAAACGCAGGGCTCTTGGGGCAGAGCTGGGGGCAGGGGCAGGAGAAGGGAGTTCAATAATCCACCATGATTCGTAGCAGAGAGAGAAGAGGCAGAGCATGGCAGGCACCTAGTAGCACACAGTGACCCTGCTCCCGTGGAAACTGTGACTGATCAGAATAATAATGGCCGTTGCTTGGAGGGGAGGGTGTTTGGAGGGGATGAGCAGAGCTGGATCTGGCATGAGAAGATGGGCTGCAGTGTTCCCTTTCTAAAAGGTCATCTGGAGGGGCCCACGCGATCATTCCCTGCCCAGATCTAGCATTAGAAAGAAGCGGTTGTAGCAATACGGAAGTCCCTGCCCCTGCCCAGTCCCCTTAAACAAGTGGGGACTTGGAACTGTCAGAGCTGGAACAGAACAAAGCCGGACACAGCAGGCACATGGCAGAGGGGTCCACGTGCCCAGGAAAATTAAAAAGCAGGTCAGCCAGCCACATCCGGTCGCGGAAGGGAGCATGCTAGCTTCAGCCTGGCCCGGGGGCCACACGGGAGCAGTGCCCGGGCCCAGACTGATCCAAAGCATCTCTTTTGATGCCTTGATGGAGGCCAGATGCGGGCTTTTCAAAGCAGAAGTCATGTACACTGTGGACGGGGCAAGTGACAGAAGTGCTGGGTAGCCCATAACCACTTCATGGAAAGGGGACTCTTGGGGCTGGAAGGGACCCCAGAACGCATCCCGTCCCATCTGCAATGTGGAGATTTGAATCCCATCATGGCACCTAGACAAGGCATGGGCTGCAGTTCGAAGGAACTGGGTTTCCCCGTGGAGGAGATGCCGGCTTGCTGCTCAGTCTCTTAGCCTTGATTTCTTCGTCTGTAAAATGGGACTAACGATGCCCATTCTGCAGAGAATAATTGTAAGGTTAGAGATTGTGCACATCACGTATTTGGCCCAAAGGAGATACTTAACTGGGAATTATTATTACTGAGCCAGGCAAGTTCAGATTTTACATAAAATCTCTGAGAAGCAAATGCGACAGATTTTACCTCTTAATTATCTAAATGGTGAAATTTTAAATTGTCCCAAATAGTTTTACTCTGTGAAATCTGCAGAACCTGCAAATAATCATTTTGATCCTGCTGGATGGTTTGATGATATATGACTCTTAATAAATCCTCCTGGGAGAGCCAAAATGCTCAGACTGAATTTAGCAATGTAGAGAAGACCAGACATTCTGGAAAAGTAATTTGGCATCCCATAGTATTCAGCTGTTTCACTGTTATTATTAGGTGTGAATTCTAAACTCGGGGGGGGGGTTTGTTCCCTTAAATTCATCACTTCCCAAAGTAGATTTCTTAAAGGTACAGATTTCTCAAATGCCAACAGCTCCATCTTCCCATTCGGGCTCCCAAGGACAGGAGCAAAACCATGATGGCATTACCCCCTCGGAGTTGGAGGGCAAGGGTGCATAGTGGGGTCCTGGAAATGGGACGCCTAAAAGAAGGGCCTCAGAATGGATTCATTAAGGATCTATTCGAAAAGGGGGTCATTGCAGTGGGGGATCTCACCCCCCCAGCTTCCTCCTCCTTCCTCGCCTGGGCTCGTCCTCACAGCCTCAGCCCAAAGAAGCCTTCAGGAAAATCACTGAAGTTGGCAGCCCAGAGTCACAGCCCAAGCTCACTCCTCTCCGTACCTGGGTTCTCACCTGGGCAGCCCTCCAAGCTGAGAGCCACCGCTGCCTTCCATCTTGCCGACCTCCATGCCCTCTGCCCGCCAGGTGGAATACAGGTGCTAGATCCCAGTCTGAGCACAGATGCTGGATTTTCCTCTACCACTGACTTGCTGTGTGATGTTGGGCAACCCCCTCCCCTGTCTGGGCCTCGATTTCCTCATTTGACGGTGGATAGGGAGAGGGTAATTTATAATCTCTTAAGTTCTCTCTCAGCTCTGTGGCCTTTTCTACCTTATATTAATGCTGGGTAACGTCCAAACATGGCCAGGGGTGCTGGACACACTTGGGAGAAAAGAATAAATGGCTTGATTTGGGAGAATTCCGTTTACACAGAGGAGGGCTTTTGCTATCTCGCAGCCTGGCCTTAGCACCACTGAATGGAGCTGTTCGATGGATACCTGGAGGACTCTCAGAACTGTGCCCCTTTGACACAGGAGCTGCCTCTTCCCTCACTTTCTTCCAAAGAACGAGGGTCACTTTAGGGTGCCCTGACTGCTGCTGGAGCCAGGGGCCACCAGAATCCCAGCCCTGGGAAGAACCTTTTTCCACCAGCAGATTCTTTCCTGATGCCAGACATACTTTGAGCTTTGATGAATATTTGCAAAATTAATCTCAGCCCCTCCTCCCAGGCAAGCTCCGCTGGAAGGCAGAGCTAGGATCTGAAGCCAAGGATCAGTCTGTCCTAGTTACAATGATCATAGACGTGATTTTATTCAACTCCCCCTTTCTCGTAGAAAACACCCAGGCCCCAAGAAGGGAAACAACTTGCCCAGGGTCACACAGCAGGTCAGCTGCACAGCCGGACCAAATGGCCAGGGTGCAATTAGCTATTGGTGCAATTCTTAGATCAGCTTGGGTGCCTGGGTTCAAATCCCTGCCTTTACAGTTTACTGGCAAACTATCAGTACTTAACCTCCTTGGACGTCTATTCCCTCACATGTAAAATGGAGATGTCTAATCTCCCAGGGTTCCACGAAATCACGTGTAAAGTGCGTCCTTAGCCGAGTACCTGGACTAAAAGAAGTGCCTGGAGAACGGCCACCATAGTTATGGTTGTAAATTGCTGTTGTCATTGTCGTGGGAGGAGGAAGCCTCAGAGAAACTGAAGCGTGGCCAGGAAGCTGGGGTCAGGGGCTCGGGCTGGAGCCTGGGATGCGCCCAGCTGCGCTCTCGTAACAAACGCCCTCCCCGTCTCTGTCCGCAGGCTGGTGGAGCTGTCCTCCGCGGTGCCCATCAGCTCCCACTGGGGGGTGCTGTCCAAGTGCTTGGCCTACAGCAAGGCCGCATCTGACCCGTTCGTGTACTCCTTGCTGCGACACCAGTACCGCAAGAGCTGCAAGGAGATTCTGAACAGGGTCCTCCACAGGCGTTCCCTCCGCTCCTCCGGCCTCACCGGGGACTCCCACAGCCAGAACATTCTGCCGGTCTCTGAGTGAAGGACGCCGCTCCTGCTGGAGAGCTTGGAATGAGACGGCTGGTGAGAAGAGGGGGTGGGAGGGCTTGGGGCGCCTGGGCGGACTCCACCGGCCGCCACCATCTGGCGAGCCCAGGGATTCCGGTTCCCTGGCTTCGGGGGGGATCTGAAGCCTGCTTCCTGGTTCCTCGAGGGCAGATGTTGAACTGTCCCTGTTTATCACCAAAGGATGACCGAGGGACATGCTGTGCTCTGGCTTTTCTTTTGGAGAAGCTCCTTTGAGCTCCTAGACTCACCAGAGACTCCCCAGGAGTCACACCCCGTCCGGTCATGATCAAGGACACACAGTGCTGGTGGCAGGTGGGGAAGCATGGCGTCCACCTGCTCACTAAGCCCTGGACGCTGGGCTCCATGCTGAAGAAAAGCGGTGACCCCCATGGGGCATCAGTCACGCTGAGAGTGAGGCTGGCAGTGGCCATTTAGCCCCACATCTGGCATGGCCACCCTTCTCCACATGTAGTGGTGGCTGCTTTAACCCAAATATCATTCAGCTGGAACTAACTGACTTGTTCTCGGCTGGGACCCTTGGGCCCCCATGTCCAAGGAGAAAATGTTTGCCGACTAGTGTTACCCAACTGTTGCGGACAAGTTGTCTTAGAAATGGCTATATTGGATTCAACTTTTATCCCTCTCTTGCCTCCCCCTCCGCCCCAAAGCTAACATTTGTGTGTGTAGACAATCTTAGCATGAAACTGGTTTAAATAAGCAGTTATTACTACATGTAATAACGTTCTTTGAAGTCTGACCCGAAGTCACCTTCTTCTGGTTCACATGTCATAACTGTTGGAGCAAAGGAGAGGCAGGAGGACAGTGTCTGGCAGGTCCCCCACGCCGGTTTGTGACCTGAATTTGCAGGAAGCGTTTCACCCTGTCTCACACATCTTGTCCAGCGTGTTCTCTTAGGTGATTGGACAACAGCTGACCTGAGCAGGGTTTTAGCCTTGATTTTAAGGCACTGGGTTCCATTATCCTAAGGGTTCAATATCCTAGTTTCTGTAAGTCATCAACAAACAGTAGAGGCTTCCCAAGGTGATCCAGAAAGTGCCCTGTGCCCATGATGGGAGAGTGAAATTTCTATTGAAAACCGTAACTCTAAAACATATGCCAGTTCACTAGCAGCCCCCATCTTGATTTAATAAAAACCAAGGTGAGTGGACCTTGAATTAAATTAAATGCTTTCTGCCCATCCATCTTTTTTTTTTTTTTTTTTTTTTTTTTATCATTTCAAATATTGTGTGAATGCTAAGAGCAGTTCTTTCTCCATCCTCCACTCTATGTGATTCCTCCAGGGTGGAAAGGATGGGAGCACAAGACTTAGAGGGCTCATTCTCTCCTTCCTGCTCTGCAAAGCCTAACTTTGGAAACATAGAAGGGAGGACCCATTTCAATAGGGACCAACCAGGAAGACCCTGAAGCTTTTCACTGCCAGGTGGCCCCAGTGTTGAAAAACGAAGTGTGTGCATGTTTGAAAAGATGGCGTCTTACTAGCTTTAGCTCCTCATTTAGAAAACAAATCACTGAGCCTGGCCTACTCTTGTCTAGTTGCTAAGTTTGCATGGAGACAGACATAGCCTTTGAAGCCTTGCCACCTTCCCGTTGCAGCTGGAGGTATGCTCACGCCTGCTTGGGGGAGCCAATGGCACACACCCCTTCCCAATTCTGTGTTCTGGGACATAAGCTCGGTAGCTTGAAATCAGCTGTGATGGGCATATTTATACCAAGAAAGTCAGTAAAGGCTACAAATCGGGCCTTTTTCTCCACTGAGAGCTCATTGCTAAACATCTACCAGCACATCACTGCCCAGACAGGACTTTGTGTGTTACCGAAACCAAACTGCTGGGATTCAGAGCACATTTGGCCACTCAAGTTTGAATCACAGCAGACATTCTTTTTTGTGGCTCTTTCCTGGCGTCAGGCAGCTGTTCACCCTTCATTGTCCCAACATCAAAAGAACCAATGAGGTCGAGGACAAGCACAGAGCCAGGAAAATATGCACAATTGAGTCTGACCATCTCCCTTTCACGCAAACACTCCTTGGGCAGCGGAGGCGTAGTGGCCCAGTGGAGGAGGTCAATAGACAGTCAAGTTCAAGCAAACAAATACGTTTTCATCAATGTCAGGTTGGAGGAATAACTGTCATCTCCTCTTCCTGCTCTGTCTGTGGAGGCAACAAGTTATACTCCCGGAAGCAACTCTGTCCCTTTCACCTCTTCTTTAGTGAAAAAACAAGATCTGTCACCTACAGTGCCACATGTCTTGAAAAGATGCATTTCATAAATTACACTGAACCTTAGGACTGCCAAAACACCAATAAAACCAGTTGTATTGGCATCGTGGTGAAAACGCCCCAGATATGCCAGTCGGCTGGGTATTTTCATTATTATTTGAACACAGGCATCAAAACCCTAGGAGAAGTGAGAAGAAAATCGCTGCGTTGGCCATCAGTGTCAACCAACTCTGCTAGAATTACCTTTAGCTAAATGTTTATATACAGAGTCCATGAAATTCTCCCAGCTTCTTTATTCCCAAGAGAATTATCTACCTCATTTGGTAACTTATCAAACGTAACATGGTAATGTGGATTTCTCAGGTAGAACACTTAGAAATGTCCAGATCAGCATCTATGTCAAGGGCCTGGGATAACTTCCTTGATGTCAGTCTAGAATAAGGCTTGATATTGAAGGCCCGAACTTGGGTAGACAGCTGGGTTCGGTGTGAGAGCAGTTTAAGAAGATAGAAAATAAAGCCTCAATGGAGAGGCTCTCAAATTCCGAAACCCACATCCGGGGCTCAGTTTCTAGCCCTACCTGATCTGAACTTGTAGGTTTAAACCCCATCTGTGATGGCTTTTGCAGTCACTCTGCAACTCTAGCTTTTCTTTATGCTGCTTCTTAGAGGGGATTTCAGGGCCCTGGGAGCCACTGAGGGAAAAGTGTTGTGGCATTTGGGGTTTGTGTGTCTCATGGTCCGCTGACCTCCCAAAGATGCTCCCCTAAGAGCCTGCCTATTTCTACCATGAAGTTGGCTGGTGGGGGACGGGAAGTTGCCTTGACTCATCTCACACCAACTGTACATTCCTTCTAGGGCTCAGCTCAGACTTCTGCCACCATGAGCAATAAACCTCTCTCCTCATGTTTGTGAAGCTAGTTTTCTTTTTCAGGATGCCCTTCTTTCTGAGAGAAGATGGAAAGAACAGGCCAAGTCCAGGTCCTGGTTGCTGTCCTTTTACATACTTTGGTGCAGGTAGATGATGCCTTTGCAGGGCTGCAGTGTGACCCTCGGGGGGGACCGCAGGCTGTGCATTTTTAGAATTTACCCAAATTCCGCATCGACTAATTTGCCTCTGATTTCAATGAGGATATTTTATCAGGTGCCAGAAATTCCTCACATCTGCTCATATCCTTTGGAGCACTTGCACCACAGGCGAGAGAGAAGTCCTGGATATATTTGAGGCTCCCACTACCTTTCTGGAAGGTCAACAGCGTCTGCAATGAAGCCATTGGTTCCTGAACTTTACTATCCACGAGAATCACCAAGAGACGTTGTTTAAAATTCAGTTTCCTGAGCCCCTTCCCTGGAGATCCGTCTAAGGAGGTCTGGCAAGGCCTAGGATTCTGCATTTTCAGACATCAGGGCCCAGGTGACTGTGGCAGGTGGACTTCAAAGTCCTCCCTGAGGAAAAATGATCTTAGACACCTGGATAAGCTCTATGGAAAACTGGGTCTTTCTAAATATTTAGGTTTCAGTTGTCTTCTATGGTTCCCTGACATGCCAAATAGTTCAGTCTCCAGCTCACTCATGATCACGCCATGAAATTTTTAAAACCTGTTTTCACGAGACTCTGGTGGAACGGGAGAAGCTGCCCACTCTACCTCCGAAGGCCTTTGCAAAACAGCCTCCTTCCTCTCTGTGGGGCTCCCGGCTGGTAAGCACGAGATGTGTTGGGTGTTGGCAGGGTGGCAGCACTCACTGGCTCAGACACTGTGTAAGAGAAAAGGGAGCCTGGCACTCAGAGGGCCCCGGAGGGATGCTTGCTTGCATCCTGACACAGACTCTGTCCGGGCAGCCTGGCTGGGGGAGTCGATGGCTTCTAGCCTCTTCGCTACTAACCAGAGCCCTCACCCCTGCCCACTTCCGACCAGCTTCAGACCCGGGGGGCCGAGCCAGCCGAGGCAGGGCCAGAGAGAGACGGTGCTGGATGCCTACCCTTGGGTGTGGGTCTTTTGTTGGTTCCCCGCTTCATCCAGCATGGCTGACCCAGCTGGGTCCCCCACGAGCAGCTCGTAATAATGACAACCTAAGAGCCGGTGTGTCCTGAGTGAAGACTAGACACCAGACAGCACGCTGAGAGTTTGGGGGTAGCGTTTCCACGAATCCTCATAATAATCCTATGATGTCAGTACTATTACTCTCTCCTTTTTACATATCGGGCAAAATCTGTAGGTCCTCGGGCAGCATGTAGAGAAATTTGAGGGGCAGCACAAAATAGGTCTCCAGAAGGGTGGGCTGGTACTGATGGGAAGTCCCCAGCTTCACCCGACTCTGGGCAGTTCAAGGAGGAGCAGGTGACTTTCCATCAGCAGCAGAGAACCCCGTGATCTCAGCTCCTGAGCTGACACCCACACCGGCCAGCTGGGCCTTGGGCCCCTCCCGTCACGGCCACCCCTGGTCTTCTCTTTCTCTGCATGTGTTTCTCGGGGTGTTCGAGGGGAAGATGCTCGGCAGCAACCTCTGTACCAGAATTTATGGTCCACAAGTCCTTTTCAGCTACAGAGAATCTAACTGACTAAACGTTGTAGGTGTTTGCGGACTCATCGTCCAAAGAATTTTTCTGAAACTCTGGGCCAGTAGCCTTCACGAGCATTAGTACAACACAGCAGTGCCTGGCACTGAAGCTGACCTTTCCCCTTCACACAGATGCCGAGAGGTTAACATGGAGAAGCCTGTGCTGACCTGGTGGCTATAGTGGGGAGAGCGTGGGGAGAGGGTGGGAGGGGCTGTCGCAATACCCACCTGTCACTCCTCTGACATTTACGGAGCGCCTTCTGTGTGCCCGGCCCTGGGCTGTGTCAGACTCCGGGGGAGACCAGAGATTACAATGCGGAGGGCGGGGCTGCCCTGGAGCAGTGTGCGCAGTGTTGGGGGTGCAGGAGGAGGGCTGATGCACTTGGCGGGTGGGGGAGGAGCGTTCTGGAAGGTTTCCTAGAGGTGGTAGCATTGGGCCTGAACCTGCAGTAGGGAAGCGCCTATGACGAGACATGAAGGAGGTGTGAACAACGTGCCCAGTGGGGAGTCTAATGGGGCGGGAGCTTAGCGTGTGTCCGGGAGGGCACCTAGGAGGTGACATGACTCCTGAGACAGAGTGGATGTGATCTGTGGTCCTGGGGAGAGCACCGAGGTCTTGAACTTGGGAGTTTCAAAATTAGAGCTGTTTTAGAAAGAGAAAACATGGGGGGAAATCCACATATATTTAGCTATTGACAAAGAGAGGGAAGAAAGAAAAGAAGGCAGAAGGGAGGGAGGGAGGGAGGGAGGGAGGCACTAAAAGCATTGCATTTAATTTGTGGGGCGTGTACATTATACAGTGAGCGGGAAGGGGGCATGATTCACTCTTAAGAAACCAACCTCATTCGGCCAGGGCATATCCCCTGATAATACACCCGAGTGGGAATAAAGGTATGTCTTCAGTAGGGAGTGTACACATTCCATAGTAACACAGGGTCCTCGTGGCCATGGCCCATACCCTGGAGACAACTGGAAGAACCCACAGCAGAAACAACCATGTGTTTGCAAATGTTACCCTTGTCCCAAGTAACAATTCAGCCGCC